GTTCATGAGTTTACGGTGTATCGGCGGAAGGTCACGTGAATCCAAGAGCATAGACTGAATATGGGCGAGTCTAATTTCGAAGAACCAAACAAGCAATACGTTACAGCACAGATTCTCCGTGAAATGCTCCACCTCCTTGTCAGAAAATTCTAATCTCTCACTTGGCCTAATTGCGATCTAAAACGAGCACTCATAACGTTGCATCTTAGATTCCCGCACACGCGGATTATTACACAGGACGGAGGCTTCAACCCACGCCGCCCGCTTGAGTGTTCTTATTCTGATCAGCCTCGTCCATTCACCGTAAAGGCAAACAAACAATGTGCCTGAGCAGATCAGCTCAAATGGATAGTGTTATGGACCAGAATCGGTTGTGCCCTTGTGTTTCGACTTCAATTTCTCAATGCTGAAAACGTGGCAAGCAGTTCACATCTATTTTAACTGTCTTGGTAACTATGGAGCGAGCGAATATCACAATTCGCGGAATGGTGCATTCCAGCGACCACCTAACTACTACTGAACGCCGAAGCGTTCGATGGCGATGGGCTATACCATGGTTTATGCGACTCACTTTGGGACAACACGCAGTTCCACCCGTTCTTTAAATACGACATGAGTTTGCCGTGGCTACGTTTCCACTAGCAACAAGGTTCGCCACTTTTCAGCTGGAATGAACAAGTAATTCATAGCAAATGACAGTGGGTCAGCATGACTTTCTTTGTGTATGTAAACGGAAAGTCTTGGTTTGATAAACGCTAAATCTAATTTTATTTCGAGCCCTTCTCTAGTGCGTTGTTGGATTGATGAAGCTTGTAGCTTCTGAGGACGGGGAGGGCGTATTCGGGACAACAATTTGACAGAAAAATATCATTATGCTTCAATTGAAAATGGGATTCCATATTTTTCCGGACATCGAATGATAACGACCCACACAAGGGAGCATACTCCGAAAACAGGCTGCTCAACTCGTAAAGTGGAACAGACGAAACATCATGACGAATATATGGACAATCTTGAAGCTTTCGGGGTCGCATATGTGATACTACAACTCAGTGCGAACTGCTCCTTGATTCGACTGCAGTTCAATTAGTTTTGCTTCTCTACAAACGGCTCTTGGGGTTGGGGCTTTTATGAAAGATTGTCTCTCCGACTTGTTGTCTCAAATACACACACGGGTGGTAAGCGGTAGTGTGGATGTGCGTTGAGCCAAGGGGATTGGAACTGTGGGCCGCGGTCGGGAGTGATTTTTGTTGGTACTTCGTAATGGGCAAACCATGACTCGAGAAAAGCTTAAGCGACGGTTCCGGAGTGTGCCTTTGATCGGCAAGGCGATAGACCAGCGTGTAAAACGATTAATGCATGTGAAAACATACGAAAAATTGTGTGACGGAGGCCACGGGTCAACAAGGTCTATGTGAACATGGCTGAACCGACCATCAGGACTGGAAAAATGAGCGAGAGGAGTAACAGTATATCGATGGACTTTACTCTTTTGACACGCAATACATTCACCAGCCCTAGTTATGTCCTTATTCATATTAGGCCACACAGACCTGTCGCCGATAAGCTTCCGAGTAGCTCGGTTACCTGGATGCGACAAATTATGTAACTAATTGAAAATCACCCAACGAAGCGAAGCATGTATAAATGGCCTGGGAGAACCTGTGGGGACGTCGCACGTGACACGTTCGGTTGAATTGGATATAGGAAGTTGTCGTATCTTTAGCGACGGAAAAGAAGACTGCACTAGTTCAATATCACTCTTTTGATGTACAGCCAGCTCAGGTAAGGGAAACTCCGTGAAGAGAATCATTCTGCATACGTGAAAGTGCATCAGCAGCTACATTTGATTTACCTTCAGTATAACGGATGTCAGTCGTAAATTGAGATATATATGCCAGCTGCCGGCTTTCTCGGGGAGAATATCGATCGGGCGTACTCTGGAAAGCGAAGATCAATGGTTTATGGTCCCTCAAAACTGAGAAATATCGATCCTCTAAAAGATGTCGAAAATGGTGTATTGCTAGATATATAGCTAATTATTCTCACCCAAGCGTGCTCTAACGGGTTTGTTTGGGCTGCAGACATTTTGAAAAGAATGAGAGAGGTTGAAATTCTGCATCTTTCATTGTCTGAAAGACTGCACCGACTGCTTCTTGCGAGGCATCTGTGGCGAGTTGTAACTTGGTGTGTGGATCGGATGGAATATAATGCAAGAACGTCGAGTGGGTCAAGAAGGATTTCAGTCGGTTGAATCCTAGGAGAGCTTGTTTGTTAAGAACTTACTTGCGAGTACCCTTTCGAAGTAAATCCATGAGAGGTTGAGCAAGTTGAGTGCACCCGGGGATGAATCGACGGTAGTAATCGACTAAACCCAGAAAACGACGCAGTTGTCTTACGGAAGTTGGGGCGGGGTAGTCAGCCAACGTGTTTACTTTTGAGGGTTGTGGTCTGATGCCTTTATGGTCAATGATGTGGCCAAGCACTTCGAGGGAGGGTACACCGAATTCACATTTCTCAACTTGGAGAATGATACCATGTTGTCGAAAACGTTCAAAGACGGCTTTCAAATGGTGCGTATGTTCAGTGTGTGAACTGCTGGCAATGAGAACATCATCTATGTAGGTGTAAGCGAAATTTAACCCACGTAAGACTTGGTCAATGAAACGTTGGAAGGTCTGGGATAACGTGAAAAAGGCGACTTACGTTGGGGCCAAGAACAGTTGTCGCCGTTACTGTCTGGCCTTGTCGTTTCCCTGTAGACGATGGAAGTTACAGGGTTTGACACAATTACGTGCCTTTGAGCCAAACTTTTGATGGTATCGGCAGATCCATGTAGACTCGTCACAGTAGTAGAATGAACGTGCACGTGCCGGATGAGAGCGTGAATTTGAGCTAGAGCGGTGAGTTAGTTTGGTGGTAATTTCGGAGGTCTGTAGAGAAAGTTCTGAAACTTGTTGATTCGGGGCTTCAACGTCGGTCTGTGTGTTAGCACTCATGGCTGCTGATTTCACTAAAGGATAAGGATTAGTACCGTAGCATGAAAAAAACTTGGTCAGCCAATTCAGCCAATTTTGTCAGCGTTGTCTTTGTAAACAACCGACAAGACTTTCCTTATAACCCCAGGGAGGTTTTGCAACCACAACTCCTTGAGGATGCTCTCATTTACCGCCTGCTTTCCTTGTAGCTGTGTCATATGTCGGAGTAGTTG